CATATATCCACTGGGTGATTATAAGCTTCGGTGTCATGGATTGGAAGGGAGATGTTATGCTTCTTGCAATTCGATAGCTTCTTAAGGAGTGCTGAGGAGCATATACTGTAGGTGAACTAGCTGGCGCACTACTCCCTTCATTCTTCAAACGCGAATCATGGTCATACGAGATAGAGTTAGGAATACCAAGAACCAGCCGAGATGCATCGAAGTCGTGATATCCACAAAGCGACATGGATTTCACCAGATGGACACACTAAAAATCAAATCGACTTTATCTCAATCTCAAGAAAATGGAGACGCAGTCTACTTAACACAAGATCAAGAAGAGGAGCAGATGTAGGTTCACAACACTTACTGTCTAGTACAAGGAACCTTCCAAATCAAGTTAAAAGCCTTCAAGGAAGCTGGTGATAGACCTCAATTCAAGTACAACACTCGGAAACTGAAGGATGAAACTATAAAGGAGATCTTCAAAGCAGCCATCAAGACAAAATGGGAGACGTCGAGGGACATCCCTGAAGAAACCTGTGTAGAAGAACACTGGAAGTCTTTGAAAGCTATGTGGAAAGAAACCTGCACAACAGTATTAAGAAGGAAGAAAGAAGACAGGGAATGGATCTCGACGGATACCTGGAAGCTGATAGAGGAGAGGAGGATGGTGAAGCAGAAGATAAACCAGTGCAAGGATGCTCAACGACAAGAGGAACTGAGCACAATGTATAAAACACTGGATAAAGAAGTGAAAAAGAGTGCACGCAAAGACAAACGACACTTCTACGACACACTGGCAAGTGAAGCAGAACAGGCTGCAGGTAAGAGAGACCTGACGACATTGTATCAAATAACCAGGTTGCTATCAGGGAAGAGACCAACACAGATGAAGAAGGAAATTTAATTACAAAAGAAGAGAAACAGAGGAAACAATGGGCCGACCACTTCAAGAAGCTCTTGAATCGACCACCACCTGCACTTCGTCCACAAATACCACCTGCAGCCGCTGAATTACAAGTGAACATAAATCCCCCAACGAAAATGGAAGTCCTGAAGGCCATAAAGCTACTGAAATGCGGGAAAGCAGCAGGACCAGATGGAATACCGCCAGAAGCACTGAGAACAGATGCAGAGACAACAGCGGACATGCTCACACCACACCACTATTGCAGAAGGTGTGGAGGGAAGAGAAGGTACCTGACGATTGGAAGAAGGGTTACCTTGTCAAACTGCCGAAGAAGGGAGACCTCAGTGCTTGCAAGAACTGGCGCGGAATCACTCTCCTATCCACCCCAAGTAAAATATTAAGCCACATCATCCTGGAGAGGCTTAAAGACGCACTGGATTCAAAACTGCGACCGGAACAGGCAGGCTTCAGGAAGTACAAATCATGTGCTGACCAAATTGCAACGCTTCGTATCATCATAGAACAGAGCGTAGAATGGCAATCAGCTCTATACCTCAACTTCATCGACTTTGAGAAGGCCTTTGACAGCGTCGACCGAGAAGTAATTTGGAAACTGCTTCAATACTACGGAGTACCGCAAACCTTTATCCGCCTCATTCAACAACTATATGAAGATGCCACATGCCAAGTAATCCACAATGGGAAGCTCAGTGATGCCTTTGAAGTGAAGACAGCAGTGAAACAAGGTTGCCTACTATCCCCCATGATATTCCTTATTGTGGTCGACTGGATCATGCAGCAAACAGTAGGCAGCGAGAAGAGGGGGATACACTGGACGACGGAAAAGAACCTAGAAGACTTGGATTTCGCCGATGACTTATGCCTAATGTCACATAAACTTGAAGATCTGCAGGCAAAAACTAACAAGTTGACAGAAGAGGCAGCTAAGACGGGACTTCAGGTGAATATAGAGAAGACAGAGGTGATGAAGATACCGCACCACCACCATCAACAACAACGACAAACTCCAATCACCGTCAACGGGAGAAACTTGAAGGAAGTAACCTCCTTCACTTATCTAGGAAGCACTGTTTCAACTACAGGCGGGACGGACGAGGACGTCAAAGTCAGAATCGGAAAAGCAAGACAGGCGTTCATTAGCCTGAAACCAGTGTGGAGATCTTCTGCACTCAGCATGTGGAACAAGATACGGATTTTCAACACCAACGTCAAGTCAGTGCTCTTGTATGGTTCAGAGACTTGGCGCGTCACGAAAGGCATTTCCAATAAACTACAGACATTCATCAACAACTGCTTACGCTCGCTGCTGAAGATCAGATGGCCAGAAAAAATAAGCAACAAGGAACTCTGGGAACGAACCAACCAAGAACCTATCACGCAACAAATATGCAGGAGGAAGTGGAGATGGATTGACCATGCACTGAGAAGGCCGACTGAGGACATCACGCGTCAGGCCCTCGAGTGGAATCCCCATGGGAAGCGACGAGTTGGACGTCCGAGGGTGACATGGAGGAGGTCATGCGAGGAGGAAATGAGAGCTTCTGGGCTGTCGTGGAACCAGGTTCAAAAGATCTCAGAGAACAGAGGTCACTGGAGGCGTGCTGCTGAAGCCCTATGTTCCACTAGGGACCCAAGGGACTAATAATAAAAATATAATAATTTGAGGTCTGTGGTGGTGAAGTGCGATCCCCTATCGGTGCACTTAATCATTTGGTGTATCCGCTGCCAATCCGCCCTACCGTAGTCTCTACATACTATTTAGTGTGAATTGAATGTACCAATTGAAGTACTAGCTGCAGGAAGTGGTGGTGCACATAAAGCCGTTCTGTGATCACTTCCTAAGATGGCGTGCTGCCATGCGTGTGCATTTGATGCCAAGCAAGTCAATGATTTGTTGAAATAAGCAACTTTTAAACTGTGTAACTCAATCAATAATTATGACTGAAGGGACGCTGAAGTCGGACTTCCGGCGGATCCATCGGGCCCACCAGTGCTGAATCTATGGGCTTACAGCTAAGGCTCGGGACAATTTGCCTTATATCTAACCATGACCTAATTACCAGATTTACTCGGCACCACATAGTGCACAGTGCATAGTGCAAAAGTGTGCTCAATTATGCCTGGAAGTGACCCTACCACAGTCACCTTCAAATTTTATTGCTTTTTAGGTTGATTTCCTGATCGCATCACCGGTCACCGAATATGCCACCAAAGTTAACCATTTATGTCCGTCGCGTAAACAATGCGAGTCACAAGCAGGTCCCACATGACAACCACCTATGCTAACCGTAGTGCTGTATGGACATGGAGGGAGTTTAATTGTTTAGGCTTAAATCCTTTACCTCAGTGGCATATATGTGTCGCTCCAAGCTATCACAGAGACGTCACCGATGGTAGCAGTAATAGTTATAACAATAATGCCTTCAATTGGTCAAATTTACATCGGAATCACAGAAACCCTAATGTTTCTAACTTCAGTCACTTATTTCTCCCCACTAGGGTACTTTCCAGGATACGGGATATCACGAATGGTATACTTTACCGTGGATAGTTCTAGAAGTTTACACTGCGTTATGAAACCCCCAGAGACCGAATCACTGGCTAATTTCCATAGCTAGGAGCATAGGAAGGGTTCACAAGTGATCATTCCCGGTCATGTAACCCATCAGCTCCTGTCAATCAGCTCGTACTTTAAGCGTCTCAGCAGCAAATACTTCATGTTGTCCGACTCACATAAGCGGCCAAACCTTGAAAACAAGATGTAACTTCTGGGACAGCACTTGGAAACTTAACAGGGATATACATTAGATTCTACGGTCACTGTTCGCAGACAGAAATAACTTCCTTTGCCCGCATTTTGAGCAGTTTCTGCATCTGTCTCGATTTTTTTCGGGTCCGGAAAAGACTTACAAAGTACTTTATATTATCGTGAAGACAATGGTGGTTGATAAACTAATGATATATTGACATTTCGTGCAATGTCTGTCTATTCATCATCATTTCATTTGATCAGTGGAACAATTTTTGTGCACAGTTATCATTACTTTCCTTATCGTTCCCTCAGTTTCCTCCACCTTGTTCACTTCATTCAGGATTACATCGAAACGACACTCTCTAAGAGGTCGCTTCTAGGGGGAGGCTGGTGTAGTGCCCTGTAAACATGGTTATGATCTCCATCTATTGTTAACTATGTATTCAACATTGGCTACTTTTGAATGATGAGTTGCTTTTAATGTACTCGTTGAATATTGCCCTCTCGACTTGCCCACCAGAGTGCTTGGAATAAACACCTCATACGTCTGCCGCTGCCTTCTTGTTTGCTGCTTTGTGGTTATATAAAGCAAACTGTCCCGAGCGTTAGCCATAAGCACTTGCATCCAATAGGTTACTAGCGCTTGGCAACTGTTTCGGCCGAAGTGTCTGGTAGCGGAATATCAACGAGTTAGCGAGTTAATCAATCTACGCGTGTAAGGGGACAGTTGCAACCGTTGGAAAAGTTTTTCACACTATCGCTTCATTCCTAATCATGCGAACATCAGGGCTCCTAGTTCGGTGGATTCTATTTTTCCTTACATTTGAGTTTCAGGAAACCAATACTGTCGGTTCCGCAAGGAAAACGTCCGCGGCAAAGGTGAGTTGTTCATGGGTGTTTTTACCCTTCTGTTGCCGAGACCAATCTTTAGGACCCCAAGCGCCCCAGGCTTGTCATCGTTTTCCTGACCTAACTGCCTTCCAAATAACTATTCCAAGAAAATTTCTCAGTGGATGCCTGAAGATCGAGCTGCGTGGCTTCAGGTGATGCGTGTGGCATTTCGAAGGGTCATTGGCCATTGACTCATCGACATTCGAGGTTGTCGAACTAGGCAGTGGTGTGACAACCTCGGATTTTATGTCACCAACCTCCCTGAACCTCCACTGAATTTCCGAAGCCCTAGCAGGCCGGGTTGAAAATCTTGGAAATTCATTCAAATTTCTAGTTAAAAAATCTGATTAGGTTCACTTAGAGGGCCGGAGAAGCCTCCCCTCTGTTATTCAGTTAGTGGGCCAGTCAACTTTGTTTCTCTACCAGATCACTTACGCGACTGAACCGGCGCAAGGCCCATCTGGCTAAGTCGTCAGCTTGCAACATTGGTATCTCTGTTCGTATCTTGTCCAGTTTACCTTCGTTAAAACCAGCTGCACTATCGCCTGACTGCATATTGGCTTAAAGGCAGTTATTGTTATAACCTCACTGATTTCTTTCTTTGCGATAGTTTAGCTTCTTCCTGTGGGGAAGCAGATTTAGACTAGCAGCTGCTGAGTCAGACAGAAGCTCGTTTCATACCACGTTCATATATGGCTGAAACTAGTCCTGCTCACACTTTGTGGAACCAGTCCACACAAGCTCCCAGCAACAGAAGTCAGTTTGGCAAGAGTTCCTCACGGAAACCGCTGGAAAACAACCGCCACCAGAATCACGTGTCAAATCTAACCCAGGAAAAATTTGGTTGTGGCGGACCAGAAAACAGCCTTACTAGAAACTCAATATTTCTTGAAAGCCGAAAACTTTTTAGAACCAACCCCAAAACGCAACAACTAATCAAAACTCGAAGGTTATTTGGGTTGCATCGGGCCGAGGTTTATCTTATGACCAAGGTCGAATCCATCAAAAGCGACGAAGAAATGCTAAGTCTTTACGAAAAGGGCATTTGAAATGCGCCCAAAGTAGACACCGAGCAATGACGAAGTTGAATCTTCCGCTTTTAAACTTATCGTTAAGCTTTGTGTCGAATGTCTAGTATCTTTATTCTTTACGCCCGCCTCTAGGTCTTACAGAATGGTCCCAGGTCATCAGCAGATTCCAGTGGGGTAGCCTGGCACGCTCGCCTGTCGTGGCTGTGTTATACCCAATGGGCTGTCGGATGTTCGCTAAATTTGTAGGGGTCGTATGGTTAGTTCAAGGACGATGAGCCTGGTGGGTCCTTTGAATGCCGAGTCACCGGACAAGCGCTCGAACTGGTCGTAAGAGGAAGATAGAGAGGACTGAAAAGTGTCCGGGAGGAGTAAGGGAGATGAAGAAGCAGAACAATAATAAAGGAGAATTCCAGGTAGATTCAAGGAAGATAACAGTGATAGGGAGAACCTTAATAAATACGGCGAGTTCATATGGTCACTGTCAGGAGATTATAGGAGGGATAATAAATAGATAAGTGAGGATAGTAACGTTGTTAATCTGGGTATCGTAACTGCAGGTGAGACGCCTAACAGGGAATTATAAGGTTAAATGAAGTTCGCAACGAGTGCCAGCACAAAACATTTGATATGGGGTTGACCGTGATACAGTGTGTTGGGTTAGTTGGTTGCATTGACCCACCTCATACCCTAGCTGGGCGAGCGCTAGCCACCGGTCACTACGTGGCCAGCCAACCTCGTTTTGAGGTTGTGGGGGAAAAGTGCGAACGCACACTGGTGATTCCCCTTCGATGACCGATTCTTTTTGGGTTACAGCGACGATTGCCAAGGTGACCTCTCGACCGCTTCGTACAGACTTTGAGGGTGAGGCCGCCTGGTAGCCTTCGTTAGAAGTGCAGTTGTGCTTAGGTTATAGAGGCACCTCCTAGATAACTGGAGCAGTCGTCCAAGCTGTCGTTCACCACTAATACCAGGTCTTTCTCCGTGGTTTTGTTGCGGGAGGGTCTCGTATCACGTGCAGAGTGGGATACCTCTGTGAGTCGGGAGTGCCGAGAAACATGTTTTGGCATTTTTCCTGACTAAATGCTGGTCCGCCGTTACTCGCCAATGTGTAAGCGATCTGATGTCACTTTTAGTGTACTTGATCCTGTTTCAAACGTGACGGCTCCACTCAAAGTGACATCGTCAGCTTAAAGCAGAATCGAGGAGCTGAGGTTCAGTAGGAGGTCATCCATAGACAGGAGGAACAGACGCAGGCCCAGAGTCACTCATCATGATACTTCATATGTTGATGGCCAACACTTCGAGCTAACCCTGATAACTTTCGTGCGGAATTCTCTACCTTATAAATGGCCCTCCAGCCAGAATGGCACCGAACTGCTGACATCCAAACTTGCTATTCAGTGTTAGAGAGTGGCCTGTAAGACTGTGTTGAAGATTTAAACAAAATCAAGGAAAATAACATTAAGAGGGACCTGGAGGTCCCAGCATGCCATCCACCTGTCACCAACAGACAAAAGGCCTAAGGAGCGCTACCTAACCTTTCAGAAATGACACTGAACATTGCTTAGCGACCCTATTTTGTCCAAATACTCTCTGATGTCGCCTGTCAGGGTCTTCGCCACTTTCAACAACACTAGAAGAGGTGTTAGAAGTCGGCCGCGTTTTTGGTTTTACCTGCCTCTTCTTCTGAAGACAGGAGATGGATTAGTACGACCTCACTCTCATGTAAGTTAGTATTTGTGAAAGAAGTGTCGGAACCGATTACAGAGCAAGCCACACAAGGCACCCTCACATTGTTTCAACACAGACGGCCGAATGTCATCGCGTCCCGAGAAGTTTCTGAAATCGGAGCCGTGACAGGTTACCTTAATTGCACACAGCTCCCCTGCATCAGACAGTGCTGAGAGTTAGTAACTTTGGTTGGATGGTGGAATGCTTAGCTGGGCTTCAAAGGCCATCTGAAGTCCACAGTGGTCCTCTGCGTTTCTTGTCTTTCATAACACCAGCTCCTCGGCCATTAGATTTTCTGTCCATCTTGGATCGATATGAGTTCTCGCTGTTCGCCTCAAGCTTCTGGGTGAGATTTGTCGGGACGACCCCCTGTCCTCCCTCACTTTGATGCTGCGCCAATTCCTTCAAGCCCTAAATACGCCATGGCCTGGCTCTTGCCTGAAGATCCTCCTTTAATGCCATACCTTCTTCGCCTTCTTAAGGCCCTCAGTGACTCTTTCCAGGCATGTGAATCACCCCTTTGGCATTGTTGTGGATAATGGGGCATTTATGGAGATAGCTCTTCTAATGCTCCCCACGGGTTCTTAGTATTTGCCGGTCATGATGTCGTCTATAGACATAGGCTCAACGCCACGCTGTTAGCCTTGCTGCGGCAAACACAAGGGCAGGATCCATTCCATGATAGTTGTCCACCGATCACTGGACCAAGCGCTACCCTATGCTGATCGCTGCTGCTAAGAGGGGACTAAACCTAAGCGTATTCTGTCGCAGGTGGTCACTAACAGAAACGTGGTCCAGTTTGGACGCTATTCCGCCTGCCCCCAACGAATTTCGCCGCCAAAATTTGCATATAGCCCAGTCTTTTTGGTGGTATTGAGCGGGTCTCAGTCGAGCGTCTTGCTTGAGGTTGTCCCGTCCTGCCCAAGGTCGAGAATTGGGGCATTTAAACCGCCAGCTGTGATGATCTGGTCATACCCCACGGCCGTCATTGCGGGTATTACTTGGATTAGTCATCCATTCTGCTCCGCGTCGCTAGTAGGTATTCGTAAGATCCCTCCAACCGGTTACCTAGTGTGTCCGGCCGCGAAGTGGAACCAGTTGGAGTCTAGAAGCTCTGACAGTACATAACAACAATAATAATATTTATTCCTGAATATACAGTTTCATTACCGCACTCACTCTGGGATGGTTATTCACGAACGTTACTACCCCGCCTCCGTCTTCGTGTTTCCCCTCTCCCCTGAACAAACACATACCATCTGTACTGGTTCGGTGCCATTAATATCCAGCGACAATCAAGTTTCTGTCGAGATTATGAACTTTACAGCGAAATAGGGATGGAAAAGTCGTCGTTCCGCTGTCTCATTCCCGGGTCTCCACACGTCTCGGCAGAGGTATGCGGAGATGTCCCTCACAACCTAGGGTGTTTCGGCGGTGGCGAGCTGTGGGGGGCTGCGCGTAACGGTGAACGTTCCAGCGGAGCCGGTCAACTAAGATTTTTCCCAGGATGCTTTCCGGATATGTTATCGAGTCAGGGCCAGTTGGGAAGTTGGCTTGTCTGTTCCAAGTAATGGCGACCTCGGCACAAAGATGGGCTTTCGTTTGCTGTTGACGCGGCATTCTAAACCTGCTGGTACAGTATCAAACTTTTCCTCCGGTGTTTTCCTCATATGTACATCATATCTGGAGCGCTTTGGTTCGAAGCTGTCGGCATCCGAAGTCAAAAGCCGCCACCCACTCTGACGGCATTGTTGTTAGATACGAAATATGTGGGAACCCGGAGATTGCTGGAGCAAACCTTGCCGACGGCCACCGCCATTGTTGAAAGTCCTGAGTGCTGGCCGTTGGCTCCGGGATACTTTTGATGACCATGGTTGTTGATTTCATCGTGTGAATATGGGAGAAAGGAAAGACAGACATGCTTGGGTCAAATAAAAAGTAGAGAATTTATGAAAGTTAAAATAACTCCCCAACCTCGTCTTCCGTTGTCTAACTGTGCGACTCAGAAGAGTGCCAAAAGCTTCTCACAATCCCGAGGTGTGCGACCGAGTGAGATAAATAAGGCCACAGGCGCAGAAACTTGAGCTTAAGCAACTGATCGAGATAGTCAAACATTCAGTACAGCTATCCGCTTCAAGGGTGATGGTAGTGACCGACTGATGATTACACTCCCTGAAGAAAAGGGTGTCCTGACTTAAGAGATGAAAACTCCGGTTCGATAGGTATGTACGCGCTTATTTCAGAAAGGATCGAGATGGGGCAAACCACACCAGTGTTCGAGGAGCTCATTCTGAATTTAACCCTGGAAAGTGTGTGTATACTGCTGCGAACTCTATTTTCAAGGTAATTTAAGTGTTAACGACCATTCGTCAATCTAAGGTAGGTTTATTTCTTTAAATCGGTACCAGAACATGCTTGAAAATAGAAATTTCCGCTTCCCAAAGTATTGAAATATGCAGAAAAGGTTGAAGAAAGTGTGAATTTTTGCATTAGTTGTGCGTAAATAAGTATATTTGTAGCGGCGCCTTGAATAGTGACAGTATTTTAAAGCGCTTTTAAACAATCGGTTATGTTAAAGTCCAGGAATTGCGCGTGGTCTTTCTGATTCTCTAAGATACATTATGAAATTCAGTCCTGTAGTAAGCTTTTAACACAGCATATTCAAAATTATCTGTTTTCTCTTTTGTTGTCCGTTTTTCATTCTTTCAGGAGCTGTATCTATCCATGAGGCTCGTTCAACGTAGATACCATGTTGCTTGTTAGAATTCGTCAGTTACCAGCGTTACAAAAGGC